TGATTGGCACAGGACAGAGCGGAGTTTAGGGCTGTTGTACACAGAGTCGCTATGAGTCGCAGGCGACTCGCGGGCACATAACAACAACAACAACAATTTGGTATCTGTACTGGGATTGCCACAGTTTGTTATGAGTCACACAGTCAAATGCCATTGCATAGTCAATGAAACACAGATAGGCACTCCCTTCATACTCTCTGCTTTCAGCCAAAATCCATCTGAAAAAATGGATTGTGCTTATACGAAACTAATACTAGGACCAGGAGGCAGTCATCAGAACAGAGCAAGAAAACACTGCATGGTTCAAAATTGAGAAGGGTGTGCATTAAGTATGTGTCCTATCTCCTTATCTTCTCAATCTATATGCGGAATAGACTATTTGAGAGGCTTGGCTCTATGAGAAGTGTGGCTTCAGGATTGGAGGTAGACTCATCAACAATCTGCGTTATGCATATGACACAACCCTGCTTGCTGAAACTGAGGAAGACCTGAAGCGCTTGTTGCGGAGGCTCAAGGACTGCAGCCTTCAATATGGATTGAAGCTCAACATCAAGAAAAGAAAGATTCTCACCACTGGGCAGATTGGCAGCATCATGATAGATGGTGAAGAGATTGAGATTGTTGACAGCTTCAGTTTGTTTGGCTCTACAATCAACATTCTTGGTACTAGCAGCTAGGAAATTAAAAGATAAATTGCATTAGGAATGTGTGCTGTCAGAGACCTCTCCAAGATATTGAGGAACAACAATGTCAGTCTGCAGACTAAGGTGTGCCTGATACAGGCTAAAGTCTTTGCAATTACTTCCTATGTATCAGAAAGCCGGACAATGACTAGGGATGACAGGAGAGTAGAACTTTGAACTTTGGTGTTGGAGATGAGTATTGAATATACCATGGACTGGTAGGAGAACAAACAAGTTTGTCTTGGAGAGGGTGAAGGCAGGCTGCTCCTTGGAGGCAAAGATTCTGAAGCTTCTTCTGACATACTTTGAACATATTGCAAGGAGGGACCAGTCCTTGGAGAGGAACATCATGCTTGGGAATGTGGAGGGACAGTGCAGGAGAGGAAGACCCTTGATGAGATGGATTGATTCAGTCACTGGGGTAATGGGTTTAGGGGTGTCAGAGACAATAAAATTGGCAAGGGATAGAAAAGGATTTAGGACTGTTGTACACAGGGTCGCTATGAGTCGCAGACAACTTGATGGCACGTAACAAAAACATTGGGATTGCATTAAACACTGAGGTTGCTTTTGGTAGAATTGTCATTTTCGCTATATTGAGTTTTCCCATCCATGAATATGGAACATTTTTCCACTTATTTAAGTCTTTTATGTTTCTCGTAGTAGTGTTTTATAATTTTCCTTGTAAAGGTCTTATGTTTCTCCAGTTAGGTTTATTCCTAAGTTTCTCAATTTGTGGTTGACTATTATAAACAGTATTGCTTTCTTATTTTCCTCATCATTATTTTTTTGTTACTCTAGAGGAATCCCATACTCTGTGTATATTGGTCTTGTATCATGACACTCTACTAAATTTGTCTACTAGCTATAACAGTTGTTTTGTTGAGTCTTTGGGTTTTCTGAGTACACTATCATAATATCTGTATACAGGCACAGTTTCATCCATCCCTTTGCCAATCTTGATATCTTTTATTTTCTTCTCTTGTTGTATCATGAGGCTGTAAATTTTAAAGGAAAAGATTGCCCATGCAGTGGGTCTGTTCAAGTGTTCTGCATCTCTCCACATCAGTCTGGGTAGGGCATGAGTTTTAAGGAATTTGTCCATTTCCCCTAGGTTTTCAAATATATCAGAGTATAGCTTTTCATAATATCCCAATAAAAATTCTGTTCTTATAAGGTTCTGTGAGTCAGAATGGGCTCAAAGGCACACAGGAACATTTCCTCTACATACTTGGACCAAGAGGCAGTCGTCAGAACAGAGCAAGGAAACACGGCATGGTGCAAAATTGGGAAGGGCATATGCCAGGGATGTGTCCTGTCTCCATACCTTTTCAACCTGTATGCAGAGCAGATTATCCGGGAGGCTGGGCTCTATGAGGAGAAATATGGGGTCAAGATTGGTGGAAGATCTAACAACAATCTGCGATATGCAGATGATACAGCCCTGCTTGCTGAAACTGAGGAGGACCTCACGCACTTGCTGCGAAGGGTCAAGGACTGCAGCCTTCAGTATGGACTGAGGCTCAATGTCAAGAAGACAAAGATTCTCACCACTGGGCCAGTTGGCAGCATCAGGGTGGATGGTGAAGAGATTGAGATTGTTCACAGCTTCAGTTTGCTTGATTCCACAGTCAACACTCTCAGCACCAGCAGCCAGGAAATTAGAAGACATATTGCCATGCAAAAGTCTGCTGTTAGGGACCTCTCCAAGGTACTGAAGAGCAATGGTGTCTCTTTGGAGACCAAGGTGCATCTCATACAGGCCATGTTCTTTGCTATCATTTGTTATGCATCGGAGAGTTGGACAATGGAGGGTAGAAGGAGAATTGATGCCTTTGAGCTTTGGTGCTGGAGAAGAGTATTGAAGGTACCATGGACTGCCAAGAAAACAAACAGATTCATCCTGGAAAGGGTCAAACCTGGCTGCTCTTTGGAGGCAAGGTTTCTGAGGCTCCGTCTAACATACTTTCGACATGTTGCAAGGAGGGACAGGTTCTTGGAGAGGGACATCATGCTTGGTAGGGTGGAGGGACAGCACAAAAATGGAAGGCCCCCTATGAGGTGGATTGATTCAGTGTTTGAGGTAATCTGGATGGGTGTGTCAGAGGTGGTGCAATTGGCACAAGACAGAGCAGAGTTTAGGGCTATCGTACATAGGGTCGCAATGTGTCGCAAGTGACTCGACGGCACATAACAACAACAACAGCCAATAGTATGAAGTCTTTAACCAAATCTCTTGCAGGGAGACTTAATCTATGTCACCATAGGTTCAGAAGTCCTTTCTGCCCATCAGATAAGTGGAACTTTACAAGTAAGAACTGAGTTCTCTGCAGGAAGCTACCCTGTTGAATCAAATTTGCAAGGCTGAAGTGGAATCCAAAATCATTTCTGGATTGTATAATAACAAATGCTTTTTCTCAAAGACAGGCACAGTTACCTTTAGCACAATAGCTGAGTTACCTCAAGAAGACAGTAATTCCATTTTTTCGGAACTATATATAGCAGCATAAGTGCATCCTGTTTCCCCAAACCCTATCTTCTTGGTAATCCATCCTTATATCTCACAACCAAATGCTGTGAGTGGTTGGGCTGGTCTCATTTATCATAGGCAATAATGCATTCAAGTAGAATCTTAGCATAGTAGCTCTGAGTGTTTATTCCGGGAATCAATCCTAAACACAAAAATGAGAGACTGCAACATCTGATTTCACTACTGGGGAGGAGATGCAATGAAAGCTCTATTTGGTTGGATAAAATGATAACTACCTCTAAGCTCAGGCAAATAAGGGGGCATCATGAGCATCAAATTCTCTGTACCTGTCACCTTTGAGACAGGGTAATCCAAGTTGGAAGAGGAACTAACTTAAACTTATCCTTGTTATGTAACATAATACCTTCCCCTTCCCTAGAAATTAATCTTATTCAGATTTTCTGGACACTCAGTCAAAGGAATAATGTGTGCATGAGTAAGAAATGGACCCCATTTTACAACATTTATAAACACTAAAAGAGAAGAAAAAGGAAGCATCCTCTGCTGTTTTCTAGCAAACTCAGGGAAACTAAATCAAAACCCAGAAGATTATTTTAATAGTCGAAACTGAGGTCTCAGATATGTTTAAGAAACATCAGAAAGCATGGGTGAAAAAAGGCCATCTTCACAAAGAGAAACACGGAACTCGGGCTGCATAAAAGGACCTCAACAGCTTGAGCAGCAAGGACGAGAAGCATTGATTTTTACTGGAGAGAGCATATCACGTTACAGGAATGCACGCATTTAATTTTTATGAGACTGAAAGCTCACAGAAACAAAAAGAAGAAAAAAATTCCCAGTTTGTGACACATTAATGAAGCCGATAAAGGGCAACTTGAAAATATAGCAGAGGGAAAAGGCTTCATTATGTTATCAGAGGTTCTTTGAAAATAAACCATCATGCCACAAGCCACCTCAATGTGTTATGTGATACTTTTGGCCTCCTGGATAAAGAGTCGCTGGAACTCAATCATATCCTCACAGTCTATTTTATTCCTACAAGAACCCAGAGATGGTATTACTCACCTTTGTTGTTGTTGTTGTTGCTATTTCTATAAAGAATGTTTTTCATTTTCTAGGCAAAGGCAAGAATCTCCAGTTGCCTGTCACACAAGAATTATACCGCCCCACCACTTACCCTGAAAATAAATATGTACTCCTCTTTCAGGTAAATGAGATCATTTCAGAAATAAATTGGCTCCACCACTAAAACTTGGGGTTTTTTCAATTATTATACTAGTTTATTTACAAAAGTCTATTACATTGTTCCCCAGAACAGATTCTTCCAATTTTTCTCACCCCTCCCCATCAAATTGTACAACTCCATTTTGCAAAGGAAATACATGTTTAAAATGTTCCTCCGAATGAAGGTAGTATAGCAGGTATTAACATTTAAGAGGCTGCTTATACGGCCCTCATTCACAGCAAGGTCAGTCCAGGCAAAGCTAGAGGCCACTGGGGCCAGAAGCATCTGATAACAAGTCTGCTAAATTATCTCCAAGCTCTTATCAGTGTGCAACATCTTCTGGGCAAAGCAGAGGAGAAAAGGTCAAAATGCACATCCCTACTAACAATCACACATCTGGAAATAAAGCAATCTTGCAAAATCACACTGAATTTTTACTAGCCCACACAAAACTTTGAACCACCCATCCTCTCCTACTTAGTTTCCTTCAATTGGAGCTGTATTACAGTCTTGTAAATTAGAGAAGGCATCATTTTGCTTAATTTACAAGACTTAGTGATGAAGATCAAAGACTGCATCCTTCAGTATGGATTATATTTCAGCATAAAGACCAAAACACTAACAAATGGACTAATTAGTAACAGCACAGTAAAAGGAGAAAAGACTGAAGTTGTCAAGAATTTCCTTTTCTTTGTGCATGGAAGCAGTAATCAAGAAATCAAAAGACATTTTGTACTGGGCAAATCCACTATAAATAGTCTTTATAACGTGTTAAACAGCAAAGATGTCACTCTGCCTCATGTGAATATAAATTTGGACAATGAATAAGGAAGATCAAAAAAAGAACTGATGACATTGGATCCTACTGTTGATGAAGAATATTGATTTGACTGTGTGGATCATATGCAATTATGGATAATATAGAAGAATGAGAATTTTTAAACAATTTAATTGTGCTTATGCAAAAGGTCAGCCTTCAGGACTGTTTTTAATTGTTTTTGGTCAAACATTCTTTTAGGTCGTATAGCCCTGGTGTGTCCACTTGCCATACAGAGGTAACCTGTAGTTGCTGTTAAGCTGAACACTGTGACACTGATGTGTCAAATATGATAATGGTTACCCATGGTGGACAGTGTTTGGTGGAGCTCCCAGATTAAAACAAGCTTGGACGCAGGAGTGGCATCCACTTCCATAATAGCTTGCCTCCAGAAAACCTATTTACCTAGAGAAAGGATAAAAGTCACACAAATGTTGAGGACTTTCATTCATAGCGTCACTATAAGTCGCCTATGACTTGATGGCATTTAACAACAACAACATGCAAAGGGTATTCCTCGCCCAAGAGACTCTTGTCCAAAGAGAAGAGCAGAAAGGCTTTAAGTCAGGAAAGGTGTACATCAGGGTTACATCCTTTCACCATACCTATTCAATCTGTATGCTGAACAAATCATCTTAAAAACTAGATTATGGGAAGAGCAATGTGGCATTGGCACAGTGACTGTAACAATGAGCAAGTATATCAGAGATCGTGAGGACGGTGCCGGATAGGACAAGATTCAGATCTATTGCTTATAGAGTCGTTATGAGTTGTAGGCACCTCAATAGCTCCAAATAAAAACATTAAGAAGAATGAACTGATCTATCTTGGGTCTCCCAACTTAACTACTTAAGATCTAGGACAATGACTAAGAATAATCAAAGAAGAACTGATGACTTTGACTTGTGGTGCTGGAGAAGAGTATTGAACATTCCATGGACTGCCAAGAGAACTAACAGGTTTGTCCTGGAGAGGGTGAAAATCCTTGGAGGCAAGGATTTTGAAGCTCCATCTCACATACTTTAGACATGTTGCCAGGAGGGACCAATCCTTAAAGAAGGATGACATGCTTGGAAGGATAAAGAGACAGCACAAGGAAGGAAGAGATGCATTGACACAGTCACTGGGGTAGTAGGGGTCAGTATCTCAGAGACAGTAAGAATGGCTCAGAATAGGACAGGGTTCGGAGCTATTGTGCATAGGGTTGCTATGAGTCACAAGTGACTGAACAGCACATAACAACACAACATACTGAATTAAAGAACTCCCCCCAAAAGAAATCACTAAATGTAAGTATGTACCCTATTTACTCTTTCCAACTGAAAGCCATGTTATTTCTAGTAATGTACAGAATTGCCAAAAATATTCTTTTTTTATTGTGATTTGAGTGAAAATCTACAGAACAAATCCATTTTCCACTTCTCAAGTCATCTATCTTATAACATAACACATGTATTAAAATCCCCACTTTGTAAAAGCAATCTTCCCATCTCCTCCCTGTTTCCATTCATCCTTCTTCCTCATCTGTCAACTTTTTCCCTATCCCTTCCTGCTTTGTTTTTTCTTTGTTGTTGTTTTAGCTGCTGTCGGGTCAAGTATGATTCCTTGGGACCCTATGAACAACAGACCTAAACTTCGCCCTATCCTGTAGCACCCTCGCTTCCTCTGATACCCTTGAACACATTATTACGGACACTGCATCAATCCATCTCCCTAAGAGTGTTTCCCCCTTTCCCTGACCTCTCACCTTTCCAATATAATGTCCTTTTCCAAGGACCAGCCCTGGCAAATACTGTCCTTTTGATCTTGAATGGTTGATTTTCCCAAGAAGTGCAATCCTTCCTGGAGTTATTGATCCTTGATGGCCTGTCCATTTATTAGCTGTAATTGAATCCAGGGGAGGGTGGTGATTTCAATAACAAACTTGAATGATGCCTAGAGCTACAGTCTTAAAGATTCCACAAGTCTCTAAAAGACCAGTAAGGTTGGTTTTTTTCATGATTTTGAATGTTGTTCCATATGTTTCTAACACTCTATCAGGGACCTTTTATCATGATCCCTTCTAGCACCATACAATGCCTATGGTCACAGCATCACAGACACTGAAGTTAAGGTGGGTCATTAGTTCTTGGGACTAATATTTTTGTTTTCTTCACTCCTCTTTGAGCAAAACAGAAATAGACTAATACTTGTATCTTATATGGCTACTCAAAAACTTTTCAGACCGCAGTCAATATTCATCAAAGTAGGACGTAGAACACTGATGTTGTAGACAATGTTATGCTGACTGACCTTTATGCCCAGTGACCATGGTCCTGAGCACCAGCACAAATACTGCTAGTAAGTTAACAAATTGACAAAAATATTTTTAAAAAAATAAATCTTTTTAAAATTTTAAAATGTAAGTTCACAAACACTTTTAAAATTGAAAGCTGTATAATAAAAGCCAGGATCACTGCCTAGAATATGTCATTTGTTAGATTACTTCTGGACATATGAAAATCCTGCTGAAAATGTAGACAAATTTCAATGTGTTGTTGCTATGTGCCATCAAGTCTCCTATGACTCACAGCAACGCTATGTACATTAGCTCTGAACCCTGCCCTATTCTGAGCCAATTTCAATCATTGTCTCTGATAGACCTAATTCCATTGTGTCAAGTCATTGGGTCAATTCATCTCATCTTGAGTCTTCCTCTTCTGTGCTGTCCTTCCACCCTTCCAAGTATAATGTTCTTCTCCAAGGACAGATCCTCCCTCCAAAGTATGTGAGATGGAGTTTCAAGATCCTTGCCTCCAGGCAGCAGCCTGGTTTCACCATCTCCAGAACAGACCTGTTTATTCTCCTGGCAGTCTACGGTGTGTTCAATACTTCTCTCCAGCACCACAACTCAAAGGCATTGATACTTCTTCTATTTAACATTGGCTACAATGTCCCTAGTGCCATGGGCTCTTCTAAACACAGCCTGCACATCCGGTAGTTCTCTGCTGATGTATACTGTTCCAGCTGTTTCTGAATAATACAGAACAGGATCTTGCTTGCTTGTGATACTAGTGGTATTATTCAATAATGTGCACACTCTGTTGGGTCACTTTTTTAAAAAATGGGAATAAATACAGATCTCTTCCAGCCAGTTGGCCAGGTAGTTGTCCTCTAGGTTTCTTGGCATAACCGGGTGAGCATATCCAGGGCAGCATCTGTTTGCTGAAATATGTCAATTGGTATTCCATCAATTCCGGGGGCCTTGTTTTTGCCAATTCTTTCTGAGCAGCTAGAACTTACTTCCTCCTTCATTACCATAGGCTCTTGATCATATGTTGTTCCATGAAATTCTTCTTTGTCAGCAAATTCTTTTTGGTAAAGTGTCTTTGTGTACTACATCCATCTTCTTCTGATGTCTCCTGGGTCATTCAACATTCTGCCTTCAGCATTCTTAAGTACTGCAACTCAAGGCTTGAATTTATTCTTCAGTTCCTTCAGCTTAAGAAATGCCAAGTATGAGCAACCCTTTTGTTTTTCTGACTCTAGCTCCTTGCACATTTCAGTATAATATTTGGCTTTGTCTGATGCTGCCTTTTGAAATCTTCTGTTCAGCTCCTTAAATTCTTTATTTCCTCCCTTAACTTTGGATTCTCGGCATTGTAGTGCAATATTCAGAATCTTTTCTGACATATGTTTTGGTCTTTTCTTTCTCCTCTAATTATCTACCAGTAAATCTCAGATAATATGGGTCACATTAAAGGGGGCCAAAGTTAACACAGTTTAAAAATTAGGTCTTAAGTATTTATCTATTTTATTTTTCAGTTATAATGATCCATGGAGATACATTTTATAATTCTTTTGACATCCTCCCTTCATGGAATGCCTATGTTCCTAACTACTTTCATCAAATTACACATCTATGTTTTAAGGACTCCATCTGGCATGGATGAAGAAAAATTTAAGAATCTGTGAAAATAATTGATACACGCAGAGAGACAAAACCCAAAATTTTCCACCATTGAGTGCATTTGTATTCATAATGACACATCACCAGGTTTCCAAGGTAATGCATCATCTTTTTCCCTCTGAGAGGCTAGTAGATTGGATCTGCCAAACTTCAAGTCAGCAGCCCAACACATAAGGCACCAGGGCTTCCTTCAGGCAGAAAAGACTCTGCAAGAGTCCAGAATAAGAGCTGCATAGTAAAGTGGGCTGGGGGAGGGGCGC